TATGTATTTTTTAGATTTCAGAAAACTTTTATTTTGACCTTAATTCTGAGCAGATGAAAGGATTATTACGTCCACATATACCACCTGCTGCCATAACCACCCTGGCCAGATCAGCTATTTTTTCTATCACTTATCCCTCCCAAGATGTTTTTCTTGTAATAAAGGTGAGAATAATGTTAAATATATTCATTTATTTGTGTAATGCCTATATACTTGTCTATCAATATTGTAGACTTTTCAAGAGCAGGGATTTGGCCTTTACTTAATTTTTTTCATCTCGATGTTCCTTAACACAATATTGGACATTCACTGTGAGTGCCACCCAGTTTTTCGTGAAGGGGGAGCTATATTAATCAGGGTTCTCCAGAGAAACAAAACTAATAGTAGATATATATCTGTATATCTATCTGTTATGTATCTGTTTACCTATCTATATTGAGGGAGGAATGGGGAAGATAAATTGATTTATTTTAAGAAATTGGCTCATACAATGCTGGGGGCTGGTGAGTCTGCAATTTATAGGGTAGGCAGGCAGACTGGAATTCCAGGTAAGAGTTGAACTGATGTTGCAGTCTTGACTCTGAATTCCATGGGACAGTAGACCAGAAATTCAGTCAGGGTTTCTAAGTTATACTCTTGAGGAGAATTCTTCCTTCAGGATACCTCAGTCTTTGCTCATAAGGACTTGGATGAGTCCTATCCACGTAATGGAGAGTAATCTGCTTTATTCAAAGTCTATTGCTCTAAATATTCACCATCTCTAAAAAATACCTTCACATCAACATCAAGACTGGTTTTTGACCAAACAACTGGGCATCATTGCTTAGCTAAATTTGACACATAAAATTAATCATCACAGTAGCTCTACTATAATTTTATCACTCAATTCCTAAATCATGTAAATACCAAAAGCTAAATCATTGATATCAGAAAGCATTATGATTTGACTGTCAGCCAATTAAGAACAAGGATTACAAATTCTAAAATCTCAGTATTACTAAGCTACTTAGTTTACTGTAACTTAAAAAATAATTTACCTTACCTTGACCTTGACTTGGGAGTAGCCTAAAATATATTCCTTAATCACTTTATCTTTATTTATGTAAAATTATCATAAAAAGGTAATGCATTTTAATAAGGTTATAAAGTAGATTATGAAATGAATCCTGTTTACCCACAGGAACAATGTCCTAATTTGTGGATACATTCCTGTGAATTCAGGTTAAAATAAATCTTAGTTAAAATGAACAGTAATGATTTAGTAGCGATGGTCTTCAGAAACTCACTTAAAAAGTAAAATTCTAGAAATGGGCCGGGCGCCGTGGCTCACGCCTATAATCCTGGCACTCTGGGAGGCCGAGGTGGGCAGATTGTTTGAGCTCAGGAGTTCAAGACCAGCCTGAACAAGAGCAAGACCCTGGCTCTACTAAAAACAGAAAAATTACCTGGGCGTGGTGGCGTGCACCTGTAGTCTCCAGCTACTCTAGGGGCTGAGGCAAGAGAATTGCTTGAGCCCAGGAGTTTGAGGTTGCTGTGAGCTAGGCTGATGCCACAGCATTCTAGCCCAGGTGACAGAGTGAGATTCCGTCTCAAAAAAAAAAAAAGATCACAATTTGGAAGAATTTTTATTGGTGTAGAAACGTATGCATGATATAATGTTTAGTGAAAAATAACTAATACAAAAATGTGTACTCTGTGGTTCCACTTCTGTAAAATATATATGTATGTACATATAAATGTATGCATATATGTAGAAAAAGACTTTTCTGTAATTTCAAAAAAAAAAGAACAAATGAAATTGTTATTTAAATTTTAAGGCCGGGGCACCATGGTTCATGCCTGTAATCTTAGCACTTTGAGAGGCTGAGACAGGAGGGTCATTTGAGGAGGAGTTTGAGACCAACCCGAACAACACAGCAAGACCTCATCTTTACAAAAGAAAACAGTAGAAAAATTAGCTGAGTGTAGTGGTGCACATCTGTAGTCCCAGCCACTTGAGAAGCTGAGGCAGGAGGATCACTTAAACCTAGGAGTTTGAGGTTGCAGTTAGCTATGATGACACCGCACTACACTATAGCCTGGGCAACAGAGCAAGACTCTGTCTCAAAAACAAAAAAACTTTTTTAAAGGAAATATATTTAACAATTTTCTTTCATCACTTATGGTCCATCAGGATGATTTTGTTTCTTGAGAGAAAAATTTCCTTGGTATGTGTATTAGTTATTGCTGTATAAGAACAAAAAGACAAAACCCCAGTGGGATACAATAATCAGCATTTATTTAGTTCAGGCATCTTAGTTGTCTCTTGGTCAGCCAGTCTAGGCTATCCTTGGTTGAGATGGTTGCGCTCCTTCAAGTGTCTGTAGGTTGGCTGTGTGTGTGTGTGTGTGTGTGTGTGTGTGTGTGTGTGTCAGTTGATTTAGCCAGAGTTGTTCTTCTGTATGTCTCTTCTTTTCTAGCAGGGTAGCCTGACATATTCTCATGGTGATTGCAGAAGTGCCACAGAGCAGACCCAGGTGCACAGGTGCTTTTCAAGTCTTTAGACATATCATGCCAGCTATCATTCTATTGGCCACAACAGGTCACATGACAGAGTACAAACTCAGGGAGTTGGGATATACACTTGGTCTCTTTATTGGGAGTAACTGCAGTATCATATAGCAAAGTGAAGTGTAAAGGAATGGTTACAATTTGTGCTATTATCTGTAATTCTGTCTATCACTGTCTGGGATGCTAGGGTTCTGGTTCAGTCAGGATTATTAATTCCTTGCTTATTTTTGTGCTTTCTTTATTGGTATAATTACTTTCTGTAAATATGTGAAGGGGTTACACCACTATGTTTGGGTTGTTGTTTATGTGTACCTGCCATTTTAGAGAATAAAAACTTGGATTACAGTAAGGTAATGTTAATAAAGTTCACTGAAAGTTATTTTAATTAATTTTTATTGAAATATGACATAATTATAGAAAGAACACAAGTTATAAGTATGTAGTTTGATTAATTATCCCAAAATGAACACACTATGTGACCACCCACCCAGATTAAGAAGTAAAACATTAGGAGAGCCTGTAATTCTAGCACTCAGGTAGGAGGATTGCTTGAGGCCAGGAGTTAAAGACCAGCCTGAACAATAGCGAGACTCCATCTCTACAAAAAATAAAGAAAATTTCAGAATCAACATCGTTAAGATGTCTATACTACCCAAAGTGATCTACATTTCAATGCAATCCTTATTAAAATACCAACATCATTTTACGCCTTATATGGAACCAGAGAAGAACCCGCATAGCAAAAACAATTCTAGGCAATAAAAACAAAATGGGAGGTATCAACTTACCAGATTTCAAAATTTATTATAAGGCTGTAGTAATCAAAACAGCTTGGTACTGGCACAAAAATAGAGCCATTGACCAGTGGAACAGAACTGAGAACCCAGATATAAAACCATCCTCATATAGCCACCTAATCTTTGACAAAGCAGACAAAAACATACACTGGGGAAAAGAATCCTTATTCAATAAACGGTGCTGGGAAAACTGGATAGCTACATGTAGAAGACTGAATCTGGATCCACACCTTTCACCTCTCACAAAAATCAACTCACACTGGGTAACAGATTTAAACCTAAGGAGTGAAACTATTAGAATTCTAGAGGAAGATGTTGGAAATACTCTTCTAGACATTGGCCTAGGCAAAGAATTTATGAAGAAGACCCCAAAGGCAATCACAGCAACAACCAAAATAAATAAATGGGACCTGATCAAATTAAAAAGCTTCTGCACAGCCAAAGAAACTGTCACAAGAGCAAACAGACAACCTACAGAATGGGAGAAAATTTTTGCATGCTACAAATCCGATAAGGACTGATAACCAGAATCTACTTAGAACTCAGGAAAATCAACAAGAAAAAATCAAACGACCCTATCAAAAAGTGGGCAAAGGACATGAACAGAAACTTTTCAAAAGAAGACAGAATAATGGCCAAAAAACATATGAAAAAATGCTCAACATCTCTAATCATCAGGGAAATGGAAATCAAAACCACAATGAGGTATCACTTAACTCCAGTGAGACTGGCCTTTATCAAAAAGTCCCAAAACAATAAATGTTGGCGTGGATGCGGAGAGATAGGAACACTCATACACTGCTGGTGGGACTGCAAACTAGTGCAATCTCTGTGGAAAGCAATATGGAGATACCTTAAAGAGATACAAGTAGAAGTACCATTTGATCCAGCAATCCCATTACTGGGCATCTACCCAAAAGAACAAGTGATACTCTATAAGAAAGACACCTGCACCCAAATGTTTATAGCAGCACAATTCACAATTGCAAAGATGTGGAAACAACCCAAGAGTCCATCAATACATGAGTGGATTAATAAAATGTGGTATATGTATACCATGGAGTACTATTCAGCTTTAAGAAACAATGGTGATATAGCACCTCTTGTATACTCCTGGATAGAGTTGGAATGCATTTTACTAAGTGAAGTATCCCAAGAATGGAAAAATAAGCACCACATGTACTCACCATCAGATTGGTATTAACTGATCAACACATAAGTGTACATATAAGAATAACACCTATTGGATGTCGGGCAGGGGGAGGGAGGAGGGGGGAGGAGAGGATGGGTGTTTGCATACACAAAGAGTGCAATGTGCACCATCCAAGGGATGGGCATCCTTGAAACTCGGACTTGGGGGGGAGTGGGGAGGCAAGGGCAACATATATAACCTAAACATCTGTACCCCCATAAAATGCTGAAATAACAAAAAAAAAAAAAAAGGAAAAAAATAAAAATAAAGAAAGAAAATTAGCAGGCATGGTGGTGCATGCATGTAGTCCCAGCTACTCAGGATGCTGAGGCAAGAGGATCCCTTGAGCTCAGGAGTTTAGGTGGCAGTGAGCTATGATGGCACCACTGCACTCCAGCCCAGGGAACAGAGCAAGACCCTGTCTCAAACAAACAAACAAACTGACTTAGCAGAATTCCAGAAACCACCGTGACCCATTCCATTCACTGTTCCCTCCCTCTTTCACAATTTTTGCCTGTTTTTGAACACTATATTAATAGGATCAAACAGGATTGTATTTTTTTGTCTTCCTTTTTTTCTACTCAATATGATTGTTTGATTAACCCATGTTGTATGCAGCAGTTTTAAAATTCATTTTCATTGCCTTGTAGTATTTTATTGTGTGAATTTGTCACAATTTATCCATCTTGCTGCTGATGGACATTTTGGTTCATTTAAGTTTGTGGCTTTTTTGGTAATTCTGTGAACATTTCCAGTCCATTAGGAAACTGACATTTGTACTAATTTCTGTTTAGTATATTCCTAGGAGTAGAATTGCTAAGTCATAGGATGTTTGTGTGTCTGCTTTGGTAGATGCTGCCAAACAGGTTTCCAAAGTACCTGTGATAGTTGCATTCCCATCAGCAGTGAATAAGAGGTTCAGTTATTCATACTTGGTATTTATCAATTTTTAAAAATTAAAATATAAAATACAATGAGATCTATACAGTATATATATCTGGGATAAACAGCTTGATGGATTCTTACACGTGTATTCATCAGGGTAACCACTACAGGGTAACTCAACGCTACACGGTATTTCCATCAACCTGGAGGGTTCTCTTGTTTTCTCTTTATAGTGACTACTCCTCCCTTCCATCAGATAACTAATATTCCAACTTCCATTACCGTCATTTAGCTTTTCCTCTTCTTGAATTTCATATGAATGCAGTGGTATAATATGTACATAGTTTGTGCCTGGCTTCTTTCAGTATAATGTCTATACTGCTTTGGGCTGTTACAGATAATGCTGCTACAAACATTCTTGTACATGACTTTTGGAACAAATGTGTTTGCATTTCTATTGGGTATATATAGAGGTTGAATTACTGCAACAGAAGGTATTTATGTCTTCAGTTTTAGTAGAAACAGCCAGTTTTCCAAAATGGTTAGTAGAGTTTAACTCCCATTAGCAGTGTTTGAGAATTTTAATTGCTCCACTTCCTTAACACTTGCTATCATCAGATTTTATTTTATTTTACATTTTAATTTCATTAATTTTATTTTGTTTCTGGTATATTTATTGAATTGTATCATTTTACATTCCTACCAAAATTAAAAGGATTTATCTTTTTAATTTTCTTTTTGGATTCCTCCTTGTTAGTATGTGGATTTTGTATACTATAACTTTCTTGAATTATTTATTCTAACGATTTTTTTGTTGAATCTTTGGATTCTTCCACGTAAAAGATCCTGTCATCTGCAGAGATAATTTTACTTCTTTCCAATTCAGATGCTTTTATTTCTTTTTCTTGCCTAATTGTTCTGGCTTGGACATTTAGTGCTATTTTGAATAGAAGTGGCTAATGTAGGCCAGGTGTGGTGGCTCATGCCTATAATCCTAGCACTTTGGGAGACCAAAGCAGGAGAATTGCTTGAGGCTAGGAGTTTAAGACCAGTCTATCACCTTTAAGAAACAATGAACCTGTTTTTAAGTAAAACACTGTATTAATAACATGGAATGTGAATACCAAAAAAAAAAAAAAGAAAAGACCAGTCTGAGCAAGAGTGAGACCCATCTCTACAAAAAAAAGAATAAATTTGCCTATCATGGTGGCGCACACCTGTAGTCCAAGTTACTCCGGAAGCTGGGGCAGGAGGATCACTTGAGCCCCAGGAGTTTGAGGTTGCAGTGAGCTATGATCATGCCACTGCACGCCAACCTGGGAGACAGAGTAAGACCTGGCCTAAAAAACATAAAAAAAAAGAAGAAGAAGAAGTGGTTAAAGTGGGCATCCTTTTTTTGTTCTTAATCTTAGAGGAAAAACTTTTAGTATTTCACCTTTGAGTAGGATATTGGCTATAGGCTTCTCTTATATGGCCTTTATTATGTTGAGGGTAGTTTCCAATGTTTGTTCTACATCAATTGAGATGATCGTGTGTTTTTTGTTTTCTGTCAATCTGTAAGTGTGATGTATTATATTGCTTTTTTTTTTTTTTTTTGTGAGACAGGGTCTTGCTCTGTCACCCCAGCTAGAGTACAATGGTGTCATAGCTCACTGCAACCTCAAACTCCTAATCTCAAGCAATCCTCCTGCCTTGGCCTCCCAGGGTGCTAGGATTACAGGCATGAGCCACTGCACCTGGCCTACATTGCTTTTTGTATATCGAACCATCCTTGCAGTTCAGGCTGACTTTTTAATGCTTAATTAGTCTTTATTTTTTTGCCTTTGACAGCTAGAAAAAGTTCTACAACAAGGAGATATTGGAGAGTGTGCAGAACCATATATGATTTTCAAAGAAGCAGATGCCACCAAGGTAGAATGTCATGCCTCTTATTTCCCCCACATTATTACCATTGTAATTTGGGAGAATACTATACAAAGCATATTAAAGAATTTTATTACTAATTCATTTTTTTTCTGTTGGCCTACTTCCTATCTTATTTTTTTCTTTATTTCCTTTGCCATCTAGTTTGTGTCATGTGCTATTCTAGTCCTTAAAATCTCCCCTATCTCAAAACTAACTGATTCTTAAAATTTTTTTTTCTTGGAGAGAACTAAGTTAAGTCAGTTTAACTCCTAAATAATTAAAAATTTTCTTTATTTATAAAATAGTGATATTGATAGAACTTTTTCTAGCAAAACAAGTATTCTTGGCTTTCATGTGGCTGCAGATAATTAAGGGATATTGTCAAAATAGAAAATACAGTCTATTTTGTATCAGGTGACTAATTTCTAGAATTTGAATAAACTTATAAATGCAAAAGAATTGAATAATTGATATCAAATTTCAGTTACCCTGAATTAGCTACCAGAATACAGGTGATCTTTGGATCTTTGACAAGATTTAATACTGAAACTGCCAGGAATGGTATGCTTGAGGAATACTGAACAATCTACCGAAATCTAGAATATGTTTAGCTTTCTATTTTCCTGAGATTCAGAACAAGAATTGAGCTTTTTCTGCTAATATAGGTAGATCTGAGCACATGATATTCTTTTCTGATCCTTGGCTATCTGGTTGAACTCAGAATTAAAGTAACAGTAGTCTGGCTTTCCCCAGGTTGTCATTTTACAAATTAAATTTGTTCCGTGAGATGGAACTCGTAAGTATGCTAGCAGCTTATTCCACTCTTTACTTATATATTTACGTAGATTGATAGAATTAAATATACTTAATATGTAGGCTCTTTAAGCAAGAATCTATTTTGGAGGTATAATAGATATAAACAGTGCTACCATTTAACTATCGTTCCATATTTTCCCAACCCTGAGTCCCAAGGTAGGACATTGTTATTAGAATATACTTCACCAACATCCTATTTGCAAAGAGTATGTGAAAGAGGTGGTATAGGTTTTCAGTCTTAGAGTGTTCGTTGGCTGTTTCAGGCCACCTTAGTGTTTATTTCAGGAGTAGCCTAAAAGTTGAGCCAGCCTCAAGATGTCCTTGAGATCATGTACTATTTAGGCTATTTTTTTTCCGGGTGTAATCCTTTTATAATACTTTTTTCTTTGCTTCTTTTATTACAGTTCCTAGCTTATTTATCATTGGCTTATTTGTGCCCACCCTCCACCACCACCTTATCATTATTATGAGTTAGGGACTATTTCAAATTGGCTCAGTTGCTTCCACCTTTTACAGAGTAAAAAATTTAACAAATCATAACATAATATTTTGTAGTTACCAGTTGCTAACTAGACCGTGGTATGCCTCCTTTCCAAAAATAATACTTGGAACACATAATACATGTTTGGCACTTGCTCTCCTTTCTTTTCTCCAAAGAATAACATAATCACAAACAAGTTTTAAAGACTTACTCTATACATACATTTGCAGAATGTGTTGGGTTTGTTCAGTGGTTTAGATAATACATTGTTACTTGATCTCTGAAAGGTACTGGTAGTTTTTCTGTCTTTGCTGAGAAATGAGAATTCTTAACCTGTCCTTTATATAGTATGAAATGCCTTTAATTCATTGCTTTCAAGTATAATCATATAACGTATAAAGTTCTGGTTTACAGAATAAGGAAAAATTGGAGAAGCTGAAAAGTCAAGCTGATCAGTTTTGCCAAAGACTTGGGAAATATCGCATGCCTTTTGCTTGGACTGCGATCCATTTAATGAATATTGTTAGCAGTGCTGGGAGTCTGGAAAGAGATTCTACAGAAGTAGAAATCAGTACTGGAGGTAAGAATGTTTTATATAAAATATTTCTGAGTGTATACTTTTTTTCTTTTTCCTCACATAGGCTTGTTTTATTTGTGAAATCTGCAATGTGATATTGCATAAAAAGGATTTTCCATTTTTGCCCTCTTTTTCATTTAACACCATTATTAAGATATAATTCACATACCATACAATTCACCCATTTACAGCGTGCAATACAGCAGGTCCTTGAATAACATTGTTTTGTTAAACATTGTTTTGTTACAACATTGATGAGAAAAAAATTGACTCCAATTCTGGGCCACCATCTGTAGAGAGTTCGCACATTCTCCCTGTGTTTGTTTGAGTTTTCTTTGGGTACTCTGGTTTCCTCTCCCATTCCCAACATGTACATATTAGGTTAATTGGCATGTCCAAATTGTCCCAATCTGAGTGAGTGTGGTTGTGTGTGTGAGTCCTGTCCAGAATTGGTTCCTGCTTTGCACCCTGAGCCTCTGGGTTAGTCTCTGGCCACCCATGACCCTGAACTGGAATAAGCATCAAGCAATAAATTGGAAAGTGAATGAATGAATACAAATTATTAACAAATAAAAATTCATAAAGTATATAATCATATACAAATGCATGACAATAAACAATGTGGTATAAAGTGCTCATCTCACCATATTTGTTATTGCTTGTTTTCAAACTGTGTAGTGGTAGGAGGTGCTCCTTATAATTTTTGCTTTGCAAACATTCCTCGATTTAACCTTCCACCACTATGCTCACATTCACTAATTCGCCAAAAATTGGGCAAATAATTATTTTACTTGCTTTTAGTAATCTTAAATGTATGTATAGCTTACATTTATTTCAATGTTTAATATAAGAAGTGTTTGGGTCTTTATTTAGAAGTTTACTGTTATTTTTGTGACCAGAAATGTGCCATAGTAACTTAAATCTTGTTTATATCAATTGGCATATGGTAAAATCAGTTTTATTATATGTCGTTTCCCTTAAAGTCACTTTTTCTAAGAACACATTGATGATGTTAAGTGGGGACTTACTGCACATCGTTTTTATGATATATTCACAGGGTTCTGCAACCACCACCACAGTCTAATTTTGGAACACTTTTTTTTATACCTGTTAGCAGTAGTCGCTCCTCATTCTCACAAAATCTACAAACTTAGCCCTAAACAACTACTATTTTTTCTGTCTCTATCGATTTCCGTATGCTGGACATTTCATACAAACGGAATTTTACATTATGTGGTCTTTTATGGCTAGCTTCTTTCATTTAGCATTATGTTTTCATGGTTAATCCAAGTTATATATCATGTATCAGTATATGGCTTCTTTTTATTGACAGTCCATTATATTTATATGCCATATTTTATTTATCTATTCATCAGTTTTAGTTTTTTCCACATTTTGGTTATTATGAATAATGCTGCAATGAACATTCATGTACAAGCTTTTGTATGGACATATTCTTTTATTTCTCTTGGATGTATACCTAGGAGTGAAATTGCTGGATCATATGACAATTCTATATTCATTCTTTTGAGGAACTGCAAAGCTATTTTCCAACTCTTCTGCACTTTCAGAAACCCTGCTTAGCGTTGTATGAAGGTTCCAATTTCTCTATATCTTTGCCAACACTTGTTGTTATCTGTCCTTTGATAATAGCTGTCCTACTGCAGGTGAAGTGGTATCTCACTGTACTTTGGATTTGCCTGTCCCTGATAGCTAATAATGTTAAGCATCATTTTGTGTGTATTGGCTATTCGTGTAACTTCTTTGAAGGACTAGTTATTCCTATCCTTCGACCATTTTTTAATAGCGTTTTTGGTCTTTTTTTTATTGTTGATGCCTAATTTTTAAATGGGTTTTTCATCTTCTTATCACTGAGTTGTAAGAGTTCTTTGTATGTTCTGGATGCAAATTCCTTATCTAATGTATGATTAGCAAATGTTTTCTCCAAGTCTGTGAGTTCTCTTTTCTTGACGGTATTGTTTTAGCACAGAAGTTTTAAATTTTGATGAAGTCAATTTTTCTATATATTTTTTGTCACTGTGCTTTTGGTGTCATATCTAAGAAACCATTATCTAACCCAAGATCAAGATTTACTTATATGTTTTAAGAGTTTTATAGTTTTAGCTCCAACATTTATGTTTATAATCGATTTTGAGTTAATTTTTGTACTGTGATGTGAAGTAGGGGTCCAACTTGATCTGTATGTGGATATCTGGTTGTCCCAGCACGATTTGTCACAAAGGCTATTCTTTCCCCATTGAATGATCTTAGCACCCTTGTTGAAAATCAAATGACCATAGATGTATGGGTTTATTTATGGACTGTCAATTCTATTCCATTGATCTGTATGTGCAACCTTATTATGCCAGTGCTATACTATATTACTTTGGCTTTACAGTAAGGTTTGAAATTGAGAAGAATGAGTCCTCCAACTTTATCTTTCTTCAAGATTGTTTTGGCTATTGGGTTCCTTTTATTTACATATGAAATTTAGGATCAGCTGTCAATTTCTGCACAGCAGCAGCTGGGATTTTGATAGAGATTGCATTAAATCTGTCAATTTATAGATTACTGCCATCTTAACAGTATTAAGTCTTCAAATCCATGAACATGGGATTTTTTTCATTTATTTAGATAGTTTTCAATTTTTTTAAACAATGTTTTGTAGTAGTGTACAAGTCTTGTCCTTCTCTTGTTAAATTTATGCCCAAGTATTTTATTGTTTTTTGATACTATTTGAAATGGAATTGTTTTCTTAATTTCATTTTCAGAATGTCCATTTTTAATGAGAAGAAGTACAATTGACTTTTTTATATTGATCTTGTAGTATGAGAACTTTTTGAATTTATGAATTCCAATTGTTGTTTGTTTTTTCCCCAGATTTGTTAGGATTTTCTGTATATAGGATTGTATCATCTGCAAATAAAAATAGGTTTACTTTCTTTTCCAATCTGGATGCCTTTTATTTCTTTTTCTTTTCTAATTGCTTGGCTTGATCTTCCTGTACAATGTTAAATAGAAGTGGATATCCTTGTCTTGTTCCTGACCTTAGGGCAAGTTCATTCAGTATTTTTCCATAAAGTATGATGTTTGCTGTAGGTTTTTCATAGATGTACTTCAGTAGATTGGGGATGTTCCATTCTGTTCCTAATTTTTTTAGTGTTTTTATCATGAGAGGCTGTTGGATTTTGCAAAATACTTTTTCTGCCCCTATGAAAGTGATTTTGTGTGTTTTTATATTGCATACTTTTAATGTGGTGCATTGCGTTGATTGATTGGTTTGGGGATGTTAAATTAATCTTAAATTCCTTGGAAGAGTACTACTTTGTCTTGGCATATAATCTTTTTTATGTGTTGTTGGAGTCTGTTGGCTAGTATTTTGTTTAGGATTTTTCATAAGGTAAATTGGTCTGCAGTTTTTCTTTCTTTTGATGCCTCTGTCTGGTTTTGGTATCAGGGTAATACTGGCCTCATAGAATGAGTTGTGAAGTGTTCCTTCTGTTTTTTGGAAGAGTTTTTGAAGGACTGGTATTAATTCTTTGAAAGTTTGGAAGAATTCACCAGTGAAGCTGTCTTGACCTGGTCTTTTCTTAGTGGTAAGTTTTTTCATTACTAATTCTATCTCTTGTTTTAGGTCCGTTCAGATTTTGTCTTTCATCTGAGTTGGTTTTAGTACTATGTATCATTCTAGAAATTTGTCCATTTCGTATAGGTTATCTAATCTAAGTGTTGACATACAGTTGTTCATAGTATTGCTATATAATGCTTTTTATCTGTAAGGTCTGTAGTGATATTCCTTCTTTCATTCCTGATTTTAGTAAGTTGAGTCTTTTCTATTTTTTTCTTCATCTGTTTAGCTAAAGGTTTGTCAATTTTATCTTTTTGAAGAAAGAAACAATTTTTGGTTTCATTGATTTTTCTCTATTGTTTTTATAGTTTCTATTTCACCATTTCCACTCTGCTATTGTCTTTTTTGTATCCTTTTGCTTGCTTTGGATTTAGTTTCTCTTCTTTTGTAGTTTCTTGAGGTACGAAGTTACATTACTGATTTGAGATATTTCTTTTTAATGGCATTTATAGCTAGCTATAAATTTTCCTCTGAGCAGTGCTTTAGCAATGTTTTGATATATTGTATTTTCATTTTCATACCTCCTAAATATTTTCTACTTTGTCTTGTTAATTCATCCTTTTCCCATTAGCTATTTAGAAATGTGCTATTACACTTGCAAATATTTGTAAATTCCCTGAATTTTCTTCTGTTAGTGATTTATAGTTTAATTCCACTGTTCTTAGAAAATACATATTATATGATTTTTAATCTTTTCAAATTTATTATATCTTCTGTTATGGCATAGTATATAGACTGTCTTGGGTGAATGTTCTCTAAGTGCTTGAGAAGAATGTGTATTCTGTTCTTGCTTAGTGTGTTGTAGTATAAATGTCTATTACATCTAGTTTTTTATAATTTTGTTCAAGTCTTCTATTTCCTTATTAATTCAATCTAATCTAATTGTGCTATTGGTACTCAATCTAATTGTACTATTGGTTTTAAATAATAGGATTATCGTACAGATACTTTGAATGCAACTTATCTGATGATTCTGTTTCAAACTCAAGTGCTAAGACTGAGGGACCATTATATGGTGACTAAAATTCCCATTGTGGTGAATATTTTGTTGTAAATGCGTAGTTCCTCTGTAACCGTTGTAGCTCATCTTTGGTCATAAACGTAAATCTTTGTGTACTAGAAATTTATTTTTACACTAGTGATGTGGTAAAAAGAGAACCAGAAGATTTAGGTATAGTGTGTTCTTACTGATCTCTACGGAAGTGAAATTCTTCTACTATAATCAAATCAGTATGGTGAGTGGATTATTTTTAACTTATTGGATTCTTCCCTATGTCTGGAAAACTTCTTTAAAACAAAATTTAAATTTTATGAAAATGAAGATACATATATATTTTTCCTTGGTAGAACGAAAAGGGTCTTGGTCAGAGAGGAGGAATTCTAGTATTGTTGGCAGACGATCACTTGAAAGGACAACAAGTGGAGATGATGCTTGTAACTTGACCAGCTTTCGACCAGCTACTCTCACAGTGACTAATTTCTTTAAGCAGGTATTGTTCTGACATGTAGGAATTCTGGGGGAATGTTTGTACACAAGTGTCTTTTAGTTTCAGAAAAGTAGTAATTGTACTGTACCTGTACATGAATGTGATTTCAAGAAATTTAAAAAAAATTACAAATAACAAGAAAAAGAATAATAAAAATAACAACTTATAAGAGTAGAAAATAAT